GACTCCCCAGATACATGTATCTAGCCTACTAAGATGAGCAAAATACTCATTACGGAGGCACTAACGGTAGCTTTTGGCTCTTCCTCACAGCACAAAGCATGTATGATACTAGTATGGAAGGAACCAGGCCTGTTACTTCACCCTTAGCTTCTAAACTGCTCCCTTTTTGTAATATAATAATCAAACACAGAAAACAGAGGAATCTTGCATGATCTGTTGCCGATATTGTAGTTTATTAGATCATTTTAGTCTGGGCTGTCCATCTGATTTAAAGTTTTTAGCTGTTAAAATGAGGGAGGGGGTCTAGTTTTATACACTATCCAGAGTTCAATAAGATGATGATGATGAAGATGATATTTTCCTAATTTGGACAACATGTTGATGCATAGAGGTCTGCCCCGAAAAGTGAGCTGATAGCTGATTTGCCACCCGTTTTCTGTGGCAAGTGGGTGAAAGATGCCGAGGAAAAATCTGATGTTCCTTTTGTCTCTGTCTCTCCTTCTCAAGGCTACCGCCACATTCACCTTCTGACGAAGAACGGAGATCAATACCCATCCGCCACGCTCTTTGTGCATATCAATATTTGCGACAATTACTAAAAAAAGAAACAGACTTCAGGGACTGCTCAAGGAACCTCTTTTTACAATTCCAGATTGACTTTTGGTCCCCACAGCCTGCAGAGGAAAGTTCAACTCTCTGGAGGGCATGTCGTGGGCCAAGCCGTTCCTTCTGCAGCTGGCTGAATATCTACGCTGGAAAAGAGCTGCAAAAGATTAGCTTTTAAGGATGGTGCATTAATTGTTAATCCTAGTTGCTTTTCTAGGGCAAGAAAAGAGAGGATTTTGAGAGTTGCAGAGGAGCATCCAGGGGAAGATAAGAAGAGGGCTCATCTTGGTTTTAGCTCTGCAGGATCAAAACCGTGGCCTTCCAGATCACAAATCTCAGGAGCTCTCACGGGTGTTGTAGAAGTGGCAGTACTAAGAGTATAGACATTTTTAGGTCCATTTTAATGCCATCTGAACTGAATTTGCACTTCCCCAAGTTTTGTGTTGACATCTACAACACTGCAAAGGCCAGTGGGGAAAACATGCCCACTGATGTGTTCTGTGAAGGACCCTTGCTTTATAAAAGGTGGGTGGCCGAAGGAAGAAGGTGTTAGGGGAAGTATGAACAAAAACACCTACGTTGTTTTAATGCTAACTTAAGACATTTGCAGGCTCTTGCAAAAATAGCAATAACTGACCCTCAGATGGGGAAAATGAGAAAAGGAGCCAACTCAGATTTGATACCTAGGTGTGATCCTAGGATCTACCTGTGGGGTGATCAAATGCCTTTGCTTCTGGATCTATGTTGCTAATCCTCATTGCTGCTAAGATCGATCTAAGATTTATTAATTGTATTTCATTATTTTGCCAGGACAGCACAGATGTTGTGTCTGGGAGAGTTAGACATTCAATAAATAATAGGCGCATGTGTCAGATCCACCTTGGTCTGGTTGCTCCAGAACTCCAAAATGCTACAGCCGGTGATGTTGTGGCCTTCAGGCCCCAATCAAAAAAGAATAAATCTGTTATCACTTGCATAACATTCAGGATTAAGAAGGAAGTTATGGGGTCCAGTGACAGAAAGGTCTTCCCTTAGGTAGAAATGTTTGAGCAGCCCACTTTTCATAACCCCAATCATGATGTCTTGGATGGGGAATGAGATACTGAAAGCACTAGAAGAAGACTTCTTAGTTGCCCTGAGATGTTCTTTGTCATTCAGCCTCTAATCCTGGACATTTGCTGAGTTTCTTTCACTGGTTGATCTGGCCCAGCAGCTGGTGGGTCTTTTGTGGGAAAGACCAAAAAGACTTTTGCAATTCATGGCAATCTATTTCAAGTTAGGGGAAGGATGTTGTTTTTCTTCAATCTTATCCTTTCCCTTGGCACGCACATTCCCCATGGATTTGTCTGAAATAGGGCAAGGGTCTTCTTCAGTGAAAAGGCATTTAAGGTTGCAAATATTGACACACTCAACAAAACAACCAAATTATGAGGATTTTGTTAAAAATCCGATTTTAACCAAGTGTAAACTGGAAAATTTTGGACAAGATTTACAGAAAATTGGGCACACTTCTTTCCCACATAATCTCTAAACTAGTGTTTCTCAACCTTGGCAGCTTGAAGATGTGTGGAGTTCAACTCCCAGAATTCCCCAGC